AGAATCTGTTGCATTCCTATACACTAACAATGAGCTAGCAGAAAAGAAATTAAAGAAACAATTCCATTTACCATCCAATCAAAAAGAATAAAATACCTAGGAATAAAGCTACCTAAAGAGGTAAAAGATCTGTACTCAGAAAACTATGACAGTGATAAAAGAAACCGAAGATAACATAAACAGATAGAAAGATATACCATGTTCTTGGATTGGAAGAACCAATATTGTTAAAATGGCCATACTACCTAGGGTATTCTACAGATTCAATGAAATCTCTACCAAAATACCAATGGAATTTTTCACAGAACTGGAACAAAGAACTTTAAAATTTATATGGAAATACAAAAGACCCTGAATAGCCAAAACAATCTTGAGAAAGAACAGAGCTGGAAAAATCATGCTCCCTGACTTTAGACAAAGCTACAAAGCTATGGTAATCAAAATAGTAATGTACTGGCACAAAAATAGACACATAGATCAATAGAACAGAACAGAGAGCCAAGAAACAAACCCACATACTCATGGTTAATTAATCTACATCAAAGGAGGCAAGGGTATACAATGGAGAAAAGACAGTCCCTACTCCATTCTTTAGCTCAAGATTGTCTATAAGCCTTAATTGTCTGACTACATTTGGGTTTCGTATTTTTATAAGGCTCTCATACATAAAAATTTTGTTTTTCTCCTATTAATCTATCTTACATCAATTTAATTATTATAGCAGCCAAAGAACCTAGAAGGGAAGAAGGAAAGTGTTGCCCCCTACAACTCATCTGTCCATTTGCTCCACAAACATATGTTGTGCACCTTCTAGATACCAGATACTGTTAAAAGCAGCAAGGTATTTCAGCGAACGGAACAGAGTCCTACTCATGCAAATTGCTTACTACAGGCTTACTACTCTTCTCCATGATGAGGTTTTTGAGCTCAATGAGGTTTTTATTTTTCTCTTTAATAGTCAAGCACTTACTTCCTTGATTTAGGCAAATTCTCATTCTAAGTTATTCATTGCCTTATTTTTGTATTAGCAAGGACTAGGCATAACTTATACAACTATTAACTGAAGACTATTTGAAATAAACTACACATCAATAAAATTCAAAATTATAAAGCATTAAATGTTAATAAAGAAAAAGCATAGATTATTTTTCAAAGAACAGAATAAATACTGATACTAGATTAACATCTAAAGAAAGGAAATGAAGAATCAGGATTCCAAAATTAGAGGGGATTTTTTTTCTACATAGGTCTTCGAACCAGAGGTTGGCAACATTTTCTATAAACAGCAAGACAGTAAATAATTTAGGTTCTGCAAGCCAAGATGTAAGAGTGAGGATAATATGTAGTTATCTATACAAAAGATTTATACAAAAGAAAAGCAAATTTCTACGATTTTTATTGACAACATTCAAAATATAGTAAAAATTATTTAGCACATTTTGCTGGTAATACAGATCTACTAGTGAGAGAATTCTCATTTTGTGATGACATTGCACTTAAGTGGGGCTCAAAATTTCTGTCCCCCCTCATCAAAACTGATTTCAAATGTTCATCAGTTAATGCTGATCTGTAACGAGATTTGAAAAACCCTTTCTACATAGATAGGTACTGTCAAATACTGATATCAATTCCTTAGCAAGCAATTTTAATTGAGTATATTCATCACCTGGAAAGGCACTTACAGAATCAACTGAAGTTTTATCTTGATATTTCCCTTTTAGCAATTTTATTATATTGGAGGTTGATCACTTCCAATGGAATATTAGGTGTTACTTTAACTTAACTCCTTCTCCCAGTTTTAGAAAGCCCTCTTCTACCCTCAGAAATCAGCAAGTCTCCTGCCCCGTCTGTGTCTTGCAATTTTTTAAAGTACTACTGTCTTTAAAATCCATCTATTTCCCATCCCACTTCTGCTTCTAGCTATAATGAGGAGTTTGTGGTTCTGTAATGGAAAAGAAAATATGTGTGAGAGAGACACTGTCTATTATAGGCAGCATTTTGTATCTCTCAACCAAAATATTAAGAAAACATATTGTGTATAATAGAATAGTTATTCCATATTTTTAAAGTGTTGTGATTATTCACTCCTTCCTAACCCAGTGATTTCACTCACAATTCTCTGTAAACATGGGTGAGGATGTTAATTCTGCCATATAATTATTAAAGCACATGCATTTCTCAAACTTTATCCCATGTGCATTCATTTCCTTCAGGGTCACAAAATGTGATTTATCTGTGACAAGATTTGGGAATTTTAGTACCCAATTATAATTCTCCTTTCTCCTGCTTAGTGATATAAATTTCAAAAATTAGGATTTTTTATTAACCAGCCAGTCCTCTATCTATCAGGCTATCCTTATACAGTGATGCTAGTATTCCTATATTATGCCTTTTACCCTAAGACAGAGTTCTGAAACCTAGAGCTTATTGATTTGCACTGAGTTGAAGATTGACTATTCTCCAATGATTCCATGCAGTCAAATAACTTGGAATCCTATGAGGAAAATGGTGTGATCAGAGGGGAGCTGGAGTCCCTGGAGCTGTAAACTCAGAGTCTAAAATACTGAAATGCTATCAGTTCTACATTTGCCTCTATGGAACTAGAATAGAAGCAGTGGCACTGGAGAGTGTAAAATAGTTGTATGTTGTGATCACATAACAGATAAAGAATTAGAGTTCTGTTTGGAGACAGAAGCTGGAAACTGGTAAGTAATTTCCCGGTTAGGGTGAGAAAACAAAGGAAGAAGATGTGGCAATATAGCAAGGCCCTAGAAAAGGAAACTAATGTACTATTTGATTAGCTTTTTCACGTATTATTCTTAAAAGAATCTCCTACTCCTTCTATCTTGAGTTTTCTGCTGTTTGTGGCTGAAAAAAAGAAATAGAACACATTTGAGGTTATGTGTAAATAGGATGGCCAATATCCTTGGTACTTTACTCAAGATTCCTGGAAACAGTTTACCGTGGGAAGCTAAAATTAGATGACTAACTGAGACCATAGAAGAAGAATATTGATGAGTAACTTCTGGATGGTGTATATATCACTGTCATTGGATTCCCAGCCAGTGTTCATTGTTTACACTTTTGGTGTACAAATAATTATGCCAGATCTACCGAAGCAGATTTATCAATTGGAGACTCTTTCTTCAATATCATACATTGTTACACTGCCCATGAAAAAGGAAATAAATATAGATGTAGACTGAGAAGGACTGGGGACTGAAAATAGGAGTGGATGCGGAGACTGTAATTCATTCAAAGGTTATTTAGTGGTCAACATGTTGCTACATTCAATAATAAGTCTTGGGGACAGATTTAAAGGGCTCAAATACATTTAGGTTCTTTAACAATACTGGAAGCGCAACGTAAATCTGGAGAGTAAGGTGTTAGCAGACCAAAGTCAGATCTGCTTGCCTGACACTCAGCAAAGTCAATCTGTTTACACTGGGTTATGGTGAAGGAAAGTACAGTGTTTACTGCAGAGTGCCAAGCAAGGAGAATAGGAAGGCCATGCTCAAAAGACCCAAATGTCCTGATGACTTTCAGGCAAGAGTTTTTAAAGACAGTGTTGAGGGGAAGGTTGTAGGATGTTAGATCAACTTATGGACATTTTCTGATTGGTTGGTGGTGAGGTAGCAGAGTGGTGTTTCAGGAATCTCGATCATCAGTCTTCTGACTCCAACCAGTCTAGAGTCTATGTGTTTGAGGTGAGCAATTTTCACCTGGTGAGAATCTAGTTTTTGTAAAAATAACTTAAGAATGTGCATCAGACATTGTTATCTGCTTTCTTCAAGGAGAACTAGGTTCTTATGACCTTATCCCACAGTTTGACATATTGCTTAAGTTATTATCTCCTTCCTTGTTTGACTGAATCTTCTTTGTTCCAATTTTTGCTCCTTCTTATATTAACTGCTCAAGCCTGTTTTGGGGAACTTAGGGAGGCCTAGGAGACTAAACTTCTTCTACAAACAAGAGGTGGAGGACACAAAGAGATATGTGTCTGAGAGGCCCTTCAGGGTCCTGCTTGGTTTTAATTCCCCCTTCTCTTTGATACTCCTCAGTCTTGAGGGGAACAGAGGTGGTACAAGAAAGGGAATAAAGTTTTGGATAGAGAGGTTAATCATTAGCTCAGCAGGGGAACTCAGTTTTAAGGGGAATTAGTTTTAAAGTTAAAGAGACTAACAGCAACCTGAAGGAGCAACGTGGCTCCTGATACGGTACCAGTAAATTTGTGGTTTAGTTCCACTTGTTAGCCACTTAAAGATATTAGTGATTATCCTTAAGTAATTAGTTCATTTTCAGTATCTACTGCAGATGGAGCTCTCTAAATTATAAAGATTATAAAGAGGGGAATACCAGTTGACAGTGTTTTGAAATCTCGTATCTCATAACCTGAAGAATAATTGATAATCATGCTAGTAAGCAGATTTCCTTACCCATAACCACATTCAGAACTAGAAAAATTCTTATAACCCATTTAAAAATCTGCTAGTAAAAGTGTTTTTAACCATCTTAATGCTCACTAGTTAATACATTCTCATTGGTCAAAGAATGCAATAATGATTAGTTAGAAACATAGAATTTGAGATCTTAAAGAGAATAAGTGGGGAAAAATTTTATATATATATATGTATATATATATATGCATATATATATACATATATATAGTCTTAGTGGTAAACAGCCAAGAATCCTGGCTTCAAGATTTAGTCAATGATATCTCACTAACATCAGCTTCTTATATGTAATATAATAATGTATATCTGTGATAGCTGAGATGATTTATGCAAAAAAGTTAAAATAATAACTAATGCACTAATATACATTTTCCTAAGCTCTTTCTTTTCAGAGAAGCATCAAAGTTGAAGAATGTAACTTACCCTCCACTGGCCATCATGTGTCATTACAACTGTACTAGACTGACTCCAGCATTATTCATATTGAATGGCGTGCCTGGGCTACAAGGTGCACATATCTGGATCTCCCTCCCATTTTGCTCCATGTACCTTGTCACTGTACTGGGGAACTGTGGGCTCCTCTATCTCATTCATCTGGAGGCATCCTTACACTGGCCCATGTATTATTTCTTGGCCTTACTCTCTTTCACTGACATTGTTCAGTGTACAAGTATTGTACCCAAAATGTTGAGTATTTTCTGGTTTGATCACAAAGAGATCAGCTTCAACGCTTGCCTGGTGCAGATGTTCTTTCTCCACATGTTCACAGGGATGGAGTCTGGGGTGCTCATGTTGATGGCCCTGGACCTCTATGTGGCCATCTGCTACCCTCTGCACTATACCACTGTCCTCACCAATTCTATCATTGCCAAGGCTGGGTTTCTCACCTTCATTCGAGGTGTGATACTCATCATTCCCTTTACATTGCTTACCAAACACCTGCCTTACTGTAACGGTAATATAATTCCCAACACCTACTGTGACCACATGTCTGTAGCCAAGTTGTCCTGTGGAAATATCAAGGTCAATGTTATCTATGGTCTGATGGTTGCTCTCTTGATTGGAGGCTTTGACATCCTGTGCATCACAATCTCCTACACCATGATCCTCCGGGCAGTGGTCAGCCTCTCATCAGCAGAGGCTCGGCAGAAGGCCTTCAGCACCTGCACTGCCCACATCTGTGCTATTGTCATCACCTATGTCCCAGCCTTCTTCACCTTTTTCACCCACCGATTTGGGGGCCATATGATCCCAATAGCATTCACATTTTTGTGGCTAATCTATATCTGCTTCTGCCACCCACCCTGAATCCTATTATCTACGGGATAAAGACTAAGCAAATACAGGACAGAATATTCAAACTCTTTTTTAGCAAAAAACCACTGAAGAAACAGATAAAAGTAAATCCCAACATAACGAGAGGAAAATATTTTCATAGATGAAGAGAACATGTGTACCAGACAGTGTATATGTGATTTGACAGTGTCTAACTGTTTTCCTCTTGGGGTGTTAATGGATCATTCCTGTACTTTTCTAGGACCTTGTATATAAACTTGAAAACCTTGCTTTACGAAGACCCATATACCAAATATCTTTATCCCGATTCTAGGAATCCCCTAAATCTTATCTGATCTGAGGATTAAGTTCAAAAATTCGAGATCTAGTAATCTGAATGTAGTTCTTTTTACCCTGAGGATCAATAAAGTTGTTTATAAAAAAGAAGAAATAAATAAATAGCACAAAAATAAATAACATCATCTTCTCATTACTAAATGGGAATGAATGTAAAATAATAAACTTCCACCTTTTAAAATAATGTTTTATCTATTTCATTATGTTTATTTTACGTTCAACTATTTTAACAGTTTATAGTTGCTAGTCCACAGAATGGCCAGCAAAGACCTCATCTTCTCAATTCTCACAGTCTTGCAGTCAGTCCCCTCCCAAATTGTTCCACAGCCAGTCTGTGTGACCACAGAAGTGTTGGCATATATCATCTGAGATTAAATTATAAGAAGATACTATGCCTCTCTCTCTCTCTCTCTCTCTGTGTGTGTGTGTGCGCGCGTGTCTCTGAGCTCACTCAGTTTTAGAAAAACCATGTCATGTGCACACCAATGGAGAAACTCACTGAGAAAAAAACTGAAGCTTCCTACTAACAGCCACATGAGTGAGCTTGAAAGTACATCATCCAGTCTCAGTGGTGTCTTCAGAGACTGCAGGCAGGATCAATTGCTGAGCTGCAACCTCATGAGAAACTCTGAGCTACAACCACCTAGTTAAGCCTGTCTCAGATTCCAGACCCCAGACAATATGTGAGATTTTTTAAAATGTTGTTTTAAGCTGCTAAAAATCCTGGGGTTATTCAACTGTATTTTTTTTTTTTTTTACTATTTTTAAAAAGACACCATAGTGCCCATAGTTAACAATACTGTGCTGCATACTTGGACATTTGCTAAGAGGGTAGATCTTACATTGTGTTTTAATTAGAAAGAAGGAAGGAAGAAAAGAAGGAACAAAAGAGAGAAAGACAGGGAGAGAAAGGAAGGGCAAAAGGAAACTTTTGGACATGATAGATTTATTTATTGCATTGATTGTTGTGATGGCTTCATGGGTGTATATTTATCCCTAAACTCAACAAGTCATACACATTAAGTATGTACAGCTTTTAATGTCAATCATACTTCAATAGAGAGGACAAAAAAAGAAGATAATATCTCCACTAATTAAAAAGAAATCATAACAGAGGAGTTTATAAAGTATACTTACTACCACCAACTTTCGTTCTTCTCTTCCCAGAAGAAATGTCTGATACCTTTTCCTTTTGACTCCTTCTGGAGCCAGTTTATGCATGTCACCTCATTTCTTTTGAAAGCTACATAGCATCACACTATACTGGTATACAATAATTAAATTTAAGGAACATTCAGTTGATTATCATCTACATTATTTCTAATCTTTAAAATAAAATATAATCATTAATGTTCAAGAGGTTAACTTCTTGTCAAATAAACATGAAAATAAAATTTTTTCAGCAGAGACATTAGCACCAAGTACAGAACTTGCTGAATAGTAGAAGAAAAATTCACTATAAAACCATCACTGTTTTGTTCACTAGAACAAGTCTTAGAACAGTTGCTAAATAACTATTTGTTAGATGGATGGATGAATAACTGCTAGACCACAAAATGCTAATCAACATTCATAAACTAGAAAGCCACATAGGTAAAATTAAAAGAAGTTCTAGAGGAATTTGTCTGCATAATAGATAATACAGATACGGTGGGCTATTAAACAAGTTTGAGATCTACGATCAAGGAGTGAGTTAAAAGTAAAGATTAATTTGAAGAATGCTCTCCATGCAGACCTCCTGGAAATATAGTTGGCCTCTAACACATCTTCATGGACATGGTCACTATTGAGTGCTCAAGCTGGTGAATAATTGGCAGTACCCTGATGTGGTGGATCAGGGCACTTGTCAGTCGTATTATAATCAACAACCACAAGGCTTGGCTGCAAGCCCTTGGGTAATGCCAGGGAAATGTCTGATATTCATCTCCTGACTACTGAGAGGCAGCAATGGGTGATGGCCAAGTCTCTTACACAATGCACAGTGGTATTAGCATTATTTGGACTCTTGCCCCCTAATCACTCTAATCATTATTCCCTCAAGTAATAAATGTGAGATGCTGGAAGAGTTTAGAAGCTAATTTTCTAGCCCATTGTAGATAGTCTTAGATCCCTATGAATCCCAAGGGACTGGTGATTTAATAAAATTTGCAGTTCCCAGCCCAAGGGTCAGGGTTCAAATCTCCTCATTGATGGTATAGTTGGTCATCTGAACAAAAATGACATGGAGCTTAGACACCATGAGAACGAATGTCTGAGTTTTGAATTCTGACATGGCAGAATAAGCCTGCTACCTCCAGTCACAATGATGTTGGACCCCAGTGGGGAGGAAATGCTGGCTCTCTCCATGTGAGTCCAGAATGCAATATATAATAGAAGACCTAAAAACCTACTACCACTCCAATGTGTATGGAATTCCACTAATTAGCACAATTCTCGAAGAGTTGGCATGTACACTGTCTGACCATTTCCACTTATTTAACCCAGAGTAGGAATATCTCCGAAGGCTTTGGAATCCTGCTCACTGCTGTTCCATGCCACATTTACATGCCATGACATTAGCATTATTTTTATATTATTTCTCCAGGCTATATCATACATTTATAATTATATTATCTTGCTTCAGTTATTGTAAATCAAAGTCATCATCCTTTAAGAGTTTAACGTTGCTAGACCAAAAGTAAATCTCGTGGATAGAGTCTGTGAGGATGGGCAGAGTGGACACTGATAATGAAGGTGGTAACCACAGAGCTCATTGTTCAGAAACAGAGTCACAGGAGCATTAACTATTTTCTTCCAGGAAGAGGGATTAATGGTTCTGCGGGAGACAGGCTCGAGGTTGGAAGCCAATTGCAGCACAAGTATAACCTTCCCTTTGTCAGCATGACAAATATATAGTCAGAAGAGGAGATATTGCTGTAGTCTGATCCTAAAAGGATGATGGACATGCCCAAGACAGGTGGTGCTGCCCAAGGCTGGGCTCTGGGAGTAAGGCACCAGAAATGAGGGACAGGAGGTCTGAGAAATAGTGACAAACAAGAAACCCCTGAAATAGGACTGGAGCTGTGAGGAACAGAGAAGCACAAGGTAGGTGTTGTTTGAATGTTTTTGATATGATAAAGTCTCCCACTTTGTTCCTTCTTAATTTCATTCTTCTTAAAGGCATAGATCAAACTTGGTATTTTTTAATGTAGTATATTCTGGGTTTTTTTCCCCTATCCAGAATTTTTATTTAGAGTCAATTTCCACAGAAATTTCAATAGAAAGCTTGAGAACATTCTTGGAAGTAAATACTTTCTTGGTCTGTCCATCTTATCTGAGTCTCACTTAACTGAGGTGTTCAGAGAACCTCCCAAGCAGAGGTACCCCTAGCTCCAACTTACCACACCAACCATATATCACAAAAGAAGAAAAATAAATTAAGGAGGAAGAGTTCAATTTCTTCTTTACTTTCTCAAAAATCTGTTTCTTGATTCTCAAGAGACAGGGTTACTGACTTTGCTAAAGCCTTTGGTTCATAGCCTTATTAGAGAACAATTGACACCACATTCAGTTTACATTCCACAGAGCTAAGAGTATTGTTTCTAGAATTCAGATTGATGTGTCATCCCATGTCAAAGAGATTTAATGTTCATTACTAACATTAAGCTAAATCATCTCCATACAGCAATCATGTATCCACCTATATGTCACTTGGTTAGAGAGGATTTCCCTCATGGTAAATTTAAAATGACATCAGCTTCATCATCTACTTTTCATGTTTCATTTTGCTTTAAAGCATTTGTTTATCTTATATCTACGTGATACATATATATGTATATGGTATCTATACATGCATATGTATACACACATATACATAAACATATTTGTTATTTATTTGGTTACTGTCTATCTCATTCCTGAAATAATATTATGAAATCAAAGACTGATTTGTTTCTACACTTAGCAAAAAATCTTTAAAGTTTCTGAAGATGTGAATGAACCCATACTTTAAAAGACAGTATATCCTTAGTGTATACTCTCCTTCAAAATTTCCTCCTGATTCCTGCTCCAAATTTATTGTATTCTTTTACTTGATGTGGTTTAGACTTTTTAAATTGTTTGATAATTTGTTTACTTTTCAGTGATTCCCAAAGAACAGAGAGAGGATGTTCCCCTCAAATGTCACCAAGTTCCACCCTCTGTCTTTCCTGCTGCTGGGAGTCCCAGGCCTAGAAAAAATGCACATTTGGATCGGATTTCCCTTTTTTTCCGCATATTTGATTGCCCTCGTGGGGAACAACATTATTCTGTTTGTGATCAAGAGTGAACACAGTCTTCATCAGCCTATGTTTTACTTCTTGGCTATGTTAGCCTTCATTGACCTGGGTCTGTCCACATCCACAATCCCCAAGATGTTGAGCATATTCTGGTTTAATTTAAGGGAAATTAGCTTTGGGGGTTGTGTCACCCACATGTTCTTCATTCATATATTCACTGCTATGGAGACTGTCGTATTGGTTGCCATGGCCTTTGATCGCTACGTTGCCATCTGCAACCCTCTGCGATACAGTCTGATTCTCACCAGCAGAACTATTGGCCTCATCCTCATTGTGGTGTTTGGTGTTAATTTCATTTTGGTTGTCCCTCTGGTGTTTCTTATCTTGAGGCTTCCCTTCTGTGGACACCATATAATCCCCCACACATATGTGAGCACATGGGAATCGCTCGGCTGGCTTGTGCCAATATAAAGGTAAATGTAGTATTTGGATTGATTCTTATATCAATGGTACTTGTTGATGTGGTTCTGATTGTCATCTCCTATGTGAGAATACTCCGGGCTGTCTTCTGCCTTCCTTCTCAGGATGCCAGACGCAAAGCACTCAATACCTGTGGCTCCCATATCTGTGTTATTTTAGCCTTCTTCATGCCAGCTTTTTTCTCCTTCATGACCCACCGGTTTGGCAGGAATGTTCCCGTATACATTCACATTCTCCTGGCCAATCTATATGTTGTTGTTCCACCTGCCCTTAATCCCATCGTCTATGAAGTGAGGACTAAGCAGATTCGGGAGAGAGTTTCGAGAATCCTTTTGAGAAAAGGCTGATATAAACTATCTCAGAGATATTCATTTCATTTGAGGTAAAAGAGGTTATGTTTCTCAACTGTAGAATCTTGGAGCAGAAAAAACACTTTGACCTTAGTATTATTTAGTATTATTTCATTCAAAATGAAATGTGACTAATACCCACAGAGCTCCAAGGCTAATGCCTATAGAGATGCCGAGGGCCTTTTGAACGGTCCCAATTCTAGGGTAGTGGTCTAGAATATAGATTGTTCCACTGGGGGTGCAGTATTTATTTCGTGAGATTGCTAGAGATTGGTCCACCAAATTAGTGCTGGCAAGCTGATCTGAGGGTGACTCAAATTGTTTATGTAGTCAGAGGGCCCACAAAAAATCATTTGTCTTAGTACCTACATACCTTAAGGGCAGCCCAGAACGTTTGTAACTACTGTTTAGATCAAAACAGGTGGCACTGCCAACAACTCAGAAGAGGTTTTCATGCCACTGGCAGTCAATAACTTTCAGAGCTC